TAATTGGGCAACCTCCAATCATTAACTTTCTTCTATAGCTTGTTCTTAGTATAGTGTTCCTCATTTCCAATGAGTTGAATATTACTAGACAATCACCCGGGATTTTTTTTGGTTTAGTTCGTTGCTGTTTCCCTCTTATTCTAAATGCACTTTCTATCGTATACGCGACTTGTTCTTCTTTTATTTCCAACCACCTTGCAAGTTCTTTAACCATTATCCCTCTTATGTCCTCGTTTACCTCTTCCACAACTCCTCGGAATTTTAAATCAAGTTGTTTCTGACGCATTTCTGTCATGGCTAAATTGTCCCATAACTGGTCTTGCATTTTGTTTAAATCTTTTACTTCTTCCTTTAGTTTTTCTGTTTCTTTCTTTTGATCTCTCAGGTGTTTTTGGGTTCTTTTATTAGTTTCCTCAATTATTTTTGACTTGGTTGTCAGATCTTGTACCTTCTTGGAGAGTTCTCCTACCGCACTTTCTATTTTCTTGTCTATCTGTTCCTGTATTTCTCCTAATTTACTTTCCATATGTACTTTCCTTCCTCCACCTTGCGACTTTGTAATCTGCGCCATTTTAATCCTTTACCGAGGTGAACTCCTAAGTTAAATCTTCTAACATCCGACGTTCTCTTAGTGTATTCTCTAAATTTTTTCCGGTAACGAAGTCTACTCACACTAAGGATTCCGTTCTTGCAGTTTTGGAGGTCCGTCGCCCTCTTCAGTGGGAGCCAGAGGCATCGTAATACAGGGTTGTTGCTTTCCCTTTGTGCTTGCAGTTTCGCTGCCTCGAGATCCTTCAATAAAAAAAAAACCCAAAAAACAGCGGACTGCTTCCGCACGGCCGGGTATCTCTCCCTCAAGGGTACTAAAAGAGTATTAGAACTAATTCAAGAATTTGGTCAGGTAGCAGGTTTTAAGTTGAATAAGACGAAAACTAAGGTTTTAGAGAAGAATCTAACAGAGATTGAGAGAGATATGTTTCAGAAGGAGACAGGATTGACACTGGCTAAGAAAGTGAAATATTTAGGGGTTAACATGACTGCTAAGAATGTGAATTTATTTAAGGATAATGTCAGGGAACTGACATCGGAGCCAGAGGCGGAGGCTAGGCTCCCAAGCGATGCTGGAGAAGGGCCCAGCAGGGAGAGAGACAGCTCATCAGCTGGGGAAGGAAATCAGCGTGACACCAGGGATAAAGGGGGGCAGATGGGGGAATCGGCGAGGGGGCTCCAGGACTCCAGGATTCTGCTAGCGACTGAGGCAGCCACGAAGTGAAGGGCTGTCCAGACAAAAAGGTTTAACAAGATTCCCCCATCTGACCGTCCGCTGATGCCATGCCACTACTGGATCATGTAGTGCCAGCCAGCTCATCCCTAATATTATTGGGGGTCCTGCCAGTGTGGCTACGTGAAAGGCAATGGTCTCCGTGTGCCTGGAAACCCTCATTCTCATTGGTGGGGTCTGGTGCGTCACTTCCCCTCCCAGAAGCTCCCTGCCATCAATGGTGGTCACTTGCAAGGGAAAATCCAAGGGCAGAAGGTGGAGCTGGTGCTCTAGGGCGAAGTCCTTGCTGAAGAAATTGCAGGAGCTGCCTGAATCCAGCAGCCCCTTCACCATGACTGGGTGCCCATTCGGGAGTTCTAGCACCACTTCTATGGCTATAGCCGCCTTGGGGGTGTGTGGCTGGGGCACTTCTATTGGTTGCTGGCCTGGCTGCTGTGCCCGCTGATCGGCAGCCAAGCATTGGCGTTTCCCTGCTCCTGCCCCTTTTCCACCTCCTCCTCACCGCCAGCCGCTCCCACCATCCCTTGCCAGGACTTTCTTTGAGGGCAGACCCTGGCAAAATGTCCTGGCCGTTGGCAGAGGAAACACTTCTTGGTGGTTTTCCAATCCTTTCCCTCCCTCTTGCGACCTTCACTGGAGTTTGAAACCTCTCTCTCTCGCGCGCCACCTATTTCCATTGGCTCCGCCGGCGGGGAAGGCTGCCTCGGTATTTCAGGAATGCGGTAGTCATGGCAACGTTCCCCTCTCCCTTCGCGCTTCTCCTGAGCCCGTGCTTCCTGTCTTACGCCAATCGCAAGCACAGCCTTGGTCAGCTGATCCATCGACTGCGGGCGTGGCGCGCGGGAAAGCTCGTCCTTCACCGTTGGGGACAATCCCTCCTCAAACATTTGAATGGGTTCAGAGTACAATTCCCACCCGAGCCGGTGGATTAACATCGCAAAGCGCGACCAGTAGTCTCTCACTGACTGGTTCCCGTTTGCATCCCATCAGTTCCCGCCGAGTCACACTTTGCTGCACATCACTGGAATACATCGCATCCATCGCCTGGAAGAATTTCCTAAGGTCTTTCAAGGCGGCATTTTGCGTTGCCGTTAGGGGCCTGATCCATTCCCTGGCCCCATCCTGTAGATGCCTGACAATATAGGCCACCCTCTCCCCATTGTCAGCAAAATCCTTCTGCTGCAGTTCCAAAGCGTACTCTATTTCCGTTCGGAATGCATTGTAGTCCTGGGGCTTCCCCCCAAACTTGTGTACCAGTCCTGGTACCTTCCTTGCGATGGGGCTGGGTCTGACCTGAGCATCCTGAGCCCGCCTTTCGTCCAACCGCGCCGTCAGAAGAGCCACATGCTGTTCCAAATCTCGGTTCCTCTCCACCAGATTTTGCACTCCAGCTGCTCCCTCCGTGGCGCCGGCTTCTCCGGTTTGGCTCATTATGCTGCCTGCCTGTCGCTGCGCACAAGCAACGTCAGTGACTGACGGATTGCTGTAATAATAATAGGGGTTGCTCGTGCGTAAGTTGCCGCCACTCCTGGCTAGGTTGCCTGGTTAAACCTTTCCTGTCTGGACAGCCCTTCACTTCGTGGCTGTCTCAGTCCCTAGCAGAATCCGTCAGTGGGCGTCTCTTAAACCTTTTCCAGCATAAAAGCTGTTTGACACCAAGTCTCCTCCTACTCTCCCTGCGCGGAAGTCTTCTGCGCAGGGAGGGCGTGGGTAGCGGAGGACCCGTGCTCTCCCCGCTGGTGTCCGGCGAAGAGTCCTGGAGCCCTCTCGCCGATTCCCCCATCTGCCCCCCTTTATCCCTGGTGTTGCGCTGATTTCCTTCCCCATCTGCTGATTTCCTTCCCCATCCATATTGTTTTTCAGGTTGGTGATGGTATCTTTCGCTTCCTCTTCTTATCTTCCTCTTCTTATACGGGTGCCTTAAGGAGTTGCAAATTCTCTCCAGTTAACCTTTGGCATGGATGTATTTGCAAATTTTTAGCTCTGTCTCAGTGACACCTTGATGTTGTGATGAATGTAGAAATTGTTTTGCAGTTTCAGATTCAGACGTTGCTGTTTTACCCTGTTACCACCACTAGAGGGGTAAGACAGGGTTGTCTATTGGCCCTAGCATTGTTTAATTTTTACATTAACTCACTGGTGACTCACATGGCCAATGATGCTTTCCACCCCCCCAAATTAGCAGGCCGATCTCTGAATGTTCTTCTGTAAGCGGATGATGCCGCACTTCTTGCCAGATCCCCTACTGGACTGAGGAGAATTTTGCAAGCTTTACATGAATACTGTGATGAGCTCCAACCCAACTATGCTAAGACCAAGATCATGGTCTTCTCTGCCCGACCGAGACTCCATCGATGGTCGATGAATGGGATCCCCCTAGAGCAGGTTAACTGCTTTAAATATCTGGGACAAGTAATACGGTCAAATAGGTCTTTTCTGGCCCATAGAGACTATATAACAACTAATGCATCTAAAGCAGCCATCCAGATTAGATCTCTATATGCTAAGAATCAGGCTCAATTAGTGAAGATAGCTTTGAGACTCTTTCAAATGAAAGTCCTCCCCCTTCTTTTGGTGGGCATCTCTTTAGGCTCCCGTAGGGATTTTCTGAATCTGGATTCTATCCAAACGCTTCTATTCCTTAGATTCTATTCCTTAGAGCCATCCTTAGGATTCCCCCCTCGGTAGCAGGTGTGGTTATGAGATTAGAGGTCGGCTGGCAAGCTCTACGGTATGTGGCCTTGAAGACGAAGCTCTGGCTATGGCTCAAGCTTTGTTTTAAACCAGTGGGTATTGCCCCCTTGATATTGAGGGACGATTTCCAATCATCGTGGGAAAGGGAGGTCATTAACGAGGTTCAATCCTGCAGATTGTCTCACCTTTACTTTGAGTCTATGACGTACAATCAAGCTAGAGCTGTGATCTCCCGGAGACTGAGTGACATTGCCAGACAAGAGGACATAGCCCAGGTAAAACCAGGGATGTTCCTAGGGGACCAGATTTATCGGACCATACCAGCCCCTTACCTTGCAGAAATCCACTATGTGGAATACCGCAGACTTCTTACAGCGGCTAGATTGAATGTCCTTGACTCTGCGATATTGTGGGGAAGGTACAGGGGAGTACCATACGCCCAGAGAACCTGTCATTGTGCCATGGGTGTGGTTGAGTCCACCGAACACATTCTCTTGACTTCCCTTCTTATGCAGAGCTTAGACAAAATTTTATAGACCCACTCCTATTTCAATTTAGCTTCCTACCAGGAGAAAACCAGGTTTTACACTTGCTGAATAATGTCACTAGAGCTATACCTTCCTTGGTGGCCAAATTTCTTTTTTGAGCTTTTAAGCGTCGCAAGACTATAATTGACTGTATTGATATGGGGCTATCTGTTTAGCCCATTTTAGTGTTGGCTAAGTTCTAAAATCTTCCTGGATGTTTTTAACTGTGTATTGAAAAATGTACTTTTTTCTGACTGACGGTCGAATAAAAGGTTGATGATGATCATTAGTATATTTGATGACTGTCTTTTAGCTAAGTTGGCAATAATCTGGGTGCTTTCTTGCCAGACTCAGGCCATCATTGTCTCTCCGAATTACTGTATTTTTCCAGCTAGAGCCATTGGCACGTGTGAGATGTAAGTTGAGGTACGAGTTTGGAGAGGGGGCGGGAATGAGGAAGGGGCGACATATTGAGGTGTGTCGTATGCTGATTGGCTGAGGGTGACGTGTGGCACGTAGAACATCCACACCTCTTCCCATACATATGTGAAGTTTTCAAGTCTTGGTTTACATATTTCAGTAGAGTCTCTATACTATTAGTGAAATATAAGGTAAGGTAAGGCTCATAAGATAGCTCTTATGTTAGTTGTATTTTTCCTTAACTGTGTCAGGTTTCATCGGTAGTGTTTTCAGTTGCAGTGAATGGTTTATCATTGCAGTGTATTGTGCTGTCATTGTTGCAGAGCAGAGTTTTAAAAAACGAACCATAAATCCATCCATATTGTTTTTCAGGTTGGTGATGGTATCTTTCGCTTCCTCTTCTTATCTTCCTCTTCTTATACGGGTGCCTTAAGGAGTTGCAAATTCTTACTTTTGTCATGGATGTATTTGCAAATATTTGATTTGCCTCTGTGACAGCTGGATGTTGTAATGAATGCTGAAATTGTCTTGCAGTTTCAGATTCAGACGTTGCTGTTTTATCAGTATATTTGATGAATGTCTTTTAGCTAAATTGGCAATAATCTGGATGGTTTGTTGGCAGAGTCAAACCATCATTGTCTAGCTTTCTTTTTGTATAAGAACTAGTATGAAAGAGGCCTCCCAGCCTTCTCACAGGCCCATATTAGATCAGCGTAAACAGTTGGGCCTGATGAACATTTACTGTTCCCAAGCCTAATCCTGCGGAAAGCCATCTAATTAGATTTTAATTTGACCCTGACCTGTTTTTAGGAGGTCATTTAATTATTGTTTGATTTTATACCAATGTTATATATTTGATGTTAGCCACCCTGAGCCTGGCTTTGGCCGGGGAGGGCAGAAGATAAATAAAGTTGATTATTATTATTATTATTATTATTATTATTATTAGTTAAGGCATGAGTGCAGGAAGGGAGGGGTGAGGAAGGGTGACATCATGGGGTCTGCCGTGTGCTGATTGGCTGAGGGTGGGGTGTGGCACCTAGAACACCCAAACCTCTTCACATACCTTGTGCCTGTAATCTTGGCCATAGGGGTGCGACACCTGCAGCCCACCTAATGCTGCCCCTCCCTCATGTTGACTGGGTCCCGCATGGCAGTTTTTCTAAGATAGAACCAGAGAGGAAGAGAGCAGATGAAGAAATTTGTTCTTCTAACACAGTACGCTGGTTGGGCTACTTATTTAGACATTCATCAAAGTGCCCTTACCCAAAAGTCTGTGTGTGTCAACTTTGCATTTAAAAATCTTGCTCAAGCATTCTCTTGTGTGCTAAGCTCAACTTCTGCTTATGTCGCTTTCGCCACGATTATGTATTCATCCTGCGGTTCTGTGTCCTCATAGTCTTGCGTTCCTCCTTGATATCCCCTATATTTAATCAGAAAATGCTTTATTTGCTATGTGAATACGTGCATATTATTCTGGTCCTACAAGAGCTGCCGCACATTGGGTCAATATCTTCATCAAACCAAGGTCTAGTTCCTGAAACACCACCACCAGTTCAGACCCCATGAATTCCTGTATGACTCCTGGTCCTCTGCAGGTCAGGGAGAGGAGATTGGGGGCAGCATCTGCATGGGTGACAAAGCCCATCTAAGGGGCTGGGCTTGTTTTGCAGTCTCCCCTCTTTTCCCCACCCCAGTTAGGCATTTAAAAGGAACATGTTGATAACAACAACAATTTATTTATACCCCACCCATCTGGCTGGGTTTCCCTAGCCACTCTGGGTGGCTTCCAACAAAATATTAAAATACAGTGGCCTGTTAAATATTAAAAGCTTCCCTAAACAGGGCTGCCTTCAGATATCTTCTAAAAGTCTGGTAGTTGTTCTTCTCTTTAACATCTGTTGGGAGGGCGTTCCACAGGGCAGGTGCCACCACCAAAGAGGCCCTCTGCCTGGTTCCCTGTAACTTGGTTTCTCGCAGGGAGAAGGCCTTCGGTGCTGGACCTCAGTGTCCGGGCTGAACGATGGGGGTGGAGACGCTCCTGCAGGTATACAGGACTGAGGCCGTTTAGGGCTTTAAAGGCCAGCACCAACACTTTGAATTGTGCTCGGAAACGTACTGGGAGCCAATGAAGGTCTTTCAGAACCGGTGTTATATGGTCTCGGCGGCCACTCCCAGTCACCAGTCTAGCTGCCGCATTCTGGATTAATTGCAGTTTCTGGGTCACCTTCAAAGGTAGCCCCACGTAGAGCGCATTGCAGTAGTCCAAGTGAGAGATAACCAGAGCATGCACCACTCTGGCCAGACAGTCCATGGGCAGGGAGGATCTCAGCCTGCGTACCAGATGGAGCTGGTAAACAGCTGCCCTGGACGCAGAATTGACCTGTGCCTCCATGGACAGCTGTGAGTCCAAAATGACTGCCAGGCTGCGCATCTGGTCTTTCAGGGGCACAGTTGCCCCATTCAGGACCTGGGAGTCCTCCATATCTGCCCGCCTCCTGTCCCCACAAAACAGTACTTCTGTTTTGTCAGGATTCAACCTCAATCTGTTAGCTGCCATTCATCCTCCAAACACTCACAGGACTTTCGCCGCCTTCACTGGTTCTGATTTAAAAAGAGGTAGAGCTGTTGCAACCTACTTTGGAGACCACAAAGTGGAGAGAATTGCATTCTGGGCAAATCTGGGGAGGGCGTGGGGTTCACACATAGGGGGAAGCAGTTCTGTTGCACAAGTGTAACTCTTATGCCATCCCGGTGATGAAAGCCAACTGTCACCTTTGTTGCTGAAGTTTCCTCTTGCCCAACCAAGGTCTGTGCTCACCTCTCTCTCTAACCGAGGGTTTAAATCTTGGCCCAGATCAGCCACAGCACCCAGACTCTTCTGCTAGCTGCATCAGGAACAGCACCATGAAAGCCAGGCTCTTCCTCGTCTTCTTCCTCATGGGCCTCCTCACCATCTGTGTTGAGCTGCCGTCTGCAGCTGGACAACAAGGTAAGGGCAGAATCCCAGGCCAGCCAGACTTCCTTCTCCTCTGGTGGTGTTGACCATCTGCACAGCCTTCCTCTGAACCTGCTCCAACCTGTCTCCACCCTTCTTAGAGTCCACCACCTTCTGGGGAAGTCTTTTCCATTGTTGAATAACTCTTAACATCAGAAAGCTCTTCCTATGCCTTGGCCAAAGTCCTGGTGGAACAGCTCCGTCTTGCAGGCCCTGCGGAAAGATGTCAAGTCCCGCAGGGCCCTAGTCTCTTGTGGCAGAGTGTTCCACCAGATCGGGGCCACAGCTGAAAAAGCGCTGGCTCTGTTTGAGGCCACAATAACATCCCGGGACCTCCTAGATGTTTTTGTTTGAAGACCGTAAGGTCCTCCGTGGGACATATTAGGAAAGGTGGTCCCGTAGGTACGAGGGTCCTAGGCCGTATAGGGCTTTAAAGGTTAAAACCAGCACCTTAAACCTGACCCTAACCCTAACCCTAACCTTAACCCTAAGTGGGTGAATGTGATCCCATGGCAAGGACCCTGTAAGGAGTGAGAATCTCATTTCTTGTCATTTGAATCTGGAGCAGCAGCAGCAAACCAGCTTCCTTCAACTTCCATGTGACGGCCCTCCAGATATTTGAGAATGGTCCACATGTCACCCCTCAGTCTTCTCTTCTCCAGGCGAAGCCTACCCAGCTCCCTCAACTGTTTCTCACAAGGCTTGGTTTCCAGCCCCTGGGTATGTTTAGCCTGGGGAAGAGAAGCCCCACTGTTGACATGATAGCCATCTTCTGATATCCAAAGAAGATGGAGCAAGCTAGTTTGCTGCTGCTCCAGAGGTGGGGACCTGAAGCAATGGATTCAAATGGCCAGAAAGGAGATTCTGACTCAATATTAGGGAGAACTTTTTGGTGGTCAGAGCTGTTTGACATTTTAGGGGTGCCAGGACATCTGGCTGGCCACTGAGGACTGTGTTGGTGTCTTTGTGATAGATAGTTTCATCTTCCCATATGATCTGGGATCAGTTGAGCAGAAGGTGGAAAGGCCCACAGCCTTCCAGTAGATACTGAACCGGGAGACGCAGGTGGCGCTGTGGTCTAAACCACTGAGCCTTGGGCTTGCTGATCAAAAGGTCGGTGGTTCGAATCCCCGCGACGGGGTGAGCTCCCGTTGCTCGGTCCCTGCTCCTGCCCACCTAGCAGTTCAAAAGCACGTCAAAGTGCAAGTAGATAAATAGGTACCGCTCCAGTGGGAAGGTAAACGGCGTTTCTGTGTGCTGCTCTGGTTCGCCAGAAGCGGCTTAGTCATGCTGGCCACATGACCCGGAAGCTGTACGCCGGCTCCCTCGGCCAATAACGTGAGATGAGCGCCGCAACCCCAGAGTCGTTCGCGACTGGACATGACTGTCAGGGGTCCTCTCTCTCTAGATACTGAACCCCCATGAGATCTTGGGATGGGGGGCTGAGTGGGGCTGTCCTGGATTCTCACGTAGGCTTGTGCTTGTTCTGGCCTGAGATCTGTATTCCGGGGGATGGACTCTCAGCTCACGGGCTTCATTGCTTGTGGGAAAGAAAAGTTCCACAGCATTGTGGTGTGGGAGTCATCTTTCTCTCCTGCAGTGCGTCCTGGACAGTGTCCTCCGATTAAAGGCCCTGGCACATGCGCAATCTCCTGTCAGAGTGATGAGTCTTGCGGCCCTGGGAGCAAGTGTTGTAGTACTGGCTGTGGATTTGCATGCAAAAGAGTCGTTGAAGGTGAGAGAAGCCAGCAGGTGCCAAGCCCATCGCTCTCTCCAGGAGAGCAGTAGCAGGAAGACACTCACACCCAGCAGCATGGCGTGTTGGAAGGGAGCAGTGAGTCCTCTCATTGGCCGTGGGTGATGGAAGGCGGGAGGTTTGTTTCTCACCAAATGATTGGCTGGTATATCAGTGGCATATTTGGCCTCCTATCACAGGTTCTCCATGGTCTAGAAAGTTCCTTTTCAAAAAAAGGTCAGAGAACCTTTTGGCCACGTGGGCCAGGTATTTCTCTCTCCATGATCCCAAGGGCCAACGGTGACATGTGGGTGGAAGAAACCACCTGCTCAATCATCCCACTGTCATAGTGACATCAGGCAGATTGGGGCCTCGTGTCAATCATGCAGCACGTCCACGGCAACTGGCTGGGAAAGGTCTGCTTTCACCTGCTCTGCCGTTAGATATCAAGGGCAGGGCAGGTGGGCAGGAAAAATGGGGAGGCCGAGGTACCTGGAGGCCCCCCACTCCTGTTTTAAATGAGAGCCAGGGTTACAGGAGAAGACAGGCCCCAGTGGGCATTGTTAGAATCAGGATAGAATCCAGCCCACCGGGGAACAGAGCCACCAGGCTTGTATTTCTGTCCACAACCACTTGCATCGAGGCCCCCAACCCCATACCACTCAATCTTCTTGCGGTTCCTGCATTGCTCACTTTTGGATTAGATGACCTTTGGAGTCCCCGTAACTCTACAATTTTTTCATACCTTATTACACCAATAAATTATAGAAACATTCATTCCGTTTCTCCACAAAGATTATCCCTTGTGTGACCTCTTTAAAACATTTGTTAGCTCGATCATGCATACAGTATTCCATACCTTTATATTTTAATCTTCCAAAGTCCAAATTCTCATTCTCACCCCATGGATGATGGCCCAGGGGTTGTACCCCTGTTCACTTCACTTACCAACCTGCCCCCACCCAACCCCCCATCCTCTTATCCAACTGCTCTCCCCTGATATTTCACCAAACCTTACACCTTGCACCTTGTACCCTGACACCTCACCATTACCTGTCCAGAGCTCACTAGACCACCCATACTTCCCTTAGGCCCCACTGCCCTATCCTTAGAAGCATTCCGGCAGGTCCTGCTTGCACTTTTGGCCCAGCTGAATCTCTTTCCTCCAGCCCCCCCCCCCATCTCGCTTGCCAGCACTGCTGTCATGGCCCAGCAGCTCTCAGAAGTTATCACACTGTAGTTCACAGCATTACCTGTTGGCAGCCAAGCAAAGTGCTGCCTGATGACAACCTTGCCTTTTTATTCTACAGCATTCTTTCAAAGTGCTGTGTGCAGTTTCCATTTTCATTCCACTGCTTGCTACAGAGCATCTCAGTATGGGTGTCACCTTTTTCTCTTCCAGTGCACCCTGGACGGTGTCCCCGGCCCACTGGAGCTGGGCTTTGTGTGGAACGCTGTAAGGGTGATGCCTCTTGCTCACCTGAGCAGAAGTGTTGCAGCAATGGCTGTGGCCACGAATGCATGAGAGCCATTAAAGGTAAGAGAAGCCAGCGGGTGCCAAGCCCGTCACTCACAGCAAGACCTCCAGAAGAGCTGTGGCAGGAAGGGAGTTAGGCCAGAAGCTTGATGTGTTAGAAGGGAGAGGCAACTCCTCTCGTTGGGTAAGGAGGATGGAAGGGGGAAGTGATTATTCTCCACCAAATGATTAGATCAGCGGTTCCCAAAGGTTTTGAGTCGTGGAGCACTTCTCAGGAGAGAAATTTTTTATGGAGCACAGTTGCCTCCCTGATGCCAAAGACACATATTTATTTATTTTTATTTCCAGTCTCTTTGCAGAGCCCTTGGAGATGCCTCACGGGGCACCAAGCGCTCCGTGGAGCCCAGTTTAGGAACCGCTGAGTTAGATGGTATAGCAGCTGCACACTTCGCCCCCTCTCTTGGCTTCCGCAAAGGCCAGCGGCTTGTTGTTTTATTTAAATTCTGTAAATGAAAGCTGGGGAGACGAGCTAACGGTGACGAGGAGCACCAGGTGGCTTGGGAAAAACGGCTAATTAGAGTGCTGATAAAGCTCGTGTCCAGAATCGCTTGGCTATAATCTGCCGCACAATACAGCACAATGATTTTGTGTTGTTGGGTTCCATGGCTGGTTAGCTACCAACATTCATCTGGGATGAGTGACCTGCATTGTTCAACTACGGCATTCGTTCCCAGAATAAGTAATGATGGCCACCAACTCGGATGGCTTTGGAAGAGGGTTAGACAAATTCAGGCTATCAAGGGCTACTAGTCACAAGGGCGATGCTCTGTTTCCACTCCTGGAGACAGCATGTCTCTAGATACCAGTTGCAGGAGACCACAAGTGGGGAGAGGGCTGCTGTTGTGCTCAGGTCCTGCTCCTGGGCTCCCCAAAATGGGCATCTGGTTTGGCTACTCTGAGGAGAAGATGCTGGACTAGATGGGCCACTGGCCTGATCTAGGAGCTCTTAGGTTCTTCTGGGGCCTCCAGAGACAGCCTATCCAGAGGTTCTTGGGGACATCTGACTGCTTTGAGAACAGCATGCTGGGCCAGATGGGTCACTGGTCTGATCCTGCTGCCAAGCTCTTCTGACGCTTTCTCTTCTGTCCTAGGGTAACTTGGACTGCAGAGTGGATGAGCCCCTCCGTGAGACTCCTCACCTTGAACAGGCACCGCAGCCGACTTCTCTCTGGCTTCCTTGGGAGCAGAAGACTGTGCAGTGGCCTGAAACCCAAGGCTCACCCAATAAAAATGATATGAGTTTCCCATGAACCTTGGTCTCCGCCCTCAAGTTACTGGGAAGACAAAGGAGAGGTTACTGGGCTGCTGTGAATGTATAGCAGTGTGTAAACGGGATGGCCTGCTGGTCTCTGGGGAAACTGGTTCAACTGGAAGGACTTACCTTTGGAGAAGCCATGCTGCTTCTGCTCCACCAAGCTTGTTCTTCTACATGCTTGTTCATTCTGTCTTTAATAATGCTCTAAAACACATGTTAAGGAAATCAACCCGTAATTTCCCAGATTCCCCCTGGTACTTTTTTTAAAAAATTAAATAGCATGACATGTCCAATTAAGATCCAGGGGCTGATCTTAGGGACAAGTTACATATATATATATTTATGACTTCACATTTGCATTCTTTGACAGATTTGACAGGGGAAGTACCAGGTATTGTTTCCCAGGCAGTAAAGGAAGCCTCTAGGCTGAGCTTTCTGCCTGGGTAATTGGTCCCGGCCACTCATCTAATCAGCGAATTGTGGGCAGGCATGTGCCTCCAGAGGCGGGATCACCCTACCCTTCCGGTATATAATGAAGGCCTGTGGCTTGCACTACAGCCATGTTTCCTTGGCTCTCCCACCCTCCTTCCCTTGATATTTTAATGTATTTTTTATCTTTGTTGGAAGCCGCCCAGAGTGGCTGGGGAAGCCCAGCCGGATGGGTGGGGTACAAATAAATTAATAATAATAATAATAATAATAATAATAATAATAATAATATATTGCTGTCACTTGTTGCTCTGCCAGACCTTGCTATGGCATAATCGGCTGCTGTATTCGGGTCCAGGTTGGAATTTTCCCACTTGGAAAATGGGCTCCAGCCCTCTGGTTTTCGCCGTTCTCATAGCAGCTTTTTTTTTTTTTTAAATTCTTTTTATTAAATTTCCATTACCATTACACCAACAAAAATTTTACGAAAACAAAGAAAAAAAGAAAATAGAAAAAACACAGAATACAATACATAAGACAAAACAAGAAAAGATAACATAAGCGAAAAGCACAAAAAAGGCAAAAAGAAAGGAAACAACACCGAAAGGTTTACATACTACACTTAACAAACAACCTCTACTTCCTTCCGTACTGATTTCGGGTTTTGTTTTTATACCTTTTAGTTTACAGCTGGTGTTGGTTTTTAGTTTGCACATCGAAAGTTTTACAATAAACCTGCTATAGTTGGTAAATTTCTAAGATTGCCTTCCATATAAGTTGAAAATTTATTCCATTCCTCTTTTAACTTTGCTTTTTTTTGATTTCTAATTCGTTGTGTCATCTTTGCCAATTCCATGAAGCCATATATTTTTGATTGCCAATCCTTTACTGTTGGTAAGTTTGTACCTTTCCAATTTTGGGCGATTAACATTCTGGCCGCTGCTGTTGAATATTGAAATAAGGTTCTATCTTTATCCCATATTTCATTTCCCACCATCCCCAACAAGAAGGCCTCGGGTTTCTTAGGAAATGTGTAACCTAGTATTTTTTTTAATTCCTCATATACTTGGTTCCAAAACTTTTTTACTTCCTCACATGTCCACCACATGTGTATAAAATTGCCTTCTTTTATTTTACATCTCCAACATTTCTTATTACCCGTCTTGTACATCCTATTTAATTTTTCCGGTGTTAAATACCATCTATATACCATTTTCTCTAGATTCTCTCTAATTGCAGCGCTTGCCGTAAATTTTATTCCCTCATTCCAAAGTTTAGCCCATTTTTCGTATTCAATATTGTGCCCCAAATCTATCGCCCATTTAATCATGACTTCTTTAATTTCTTCATCCTTTGTGTCCCATTCTAATAGAATGTTATACATTTTGGATATTAACTTGGATTTACTTTCAATTATTTCAATTTGAAATTTGGATTTTTTTTCATTCATTCCTAATTTTTTATCTTCCGTCCATAATGCATTAATCTGATGATACTGTAGCCAGTCCTTCAACTTCTCCTTCAACTCCTCATAAGGTCTTAATTTCCAGTTGTCCTGAGATCTTATTAGTAAGTCTTCATATGTCAATTTTGGTTCTTCCGAATTTATCTTCTTGATTGATAAGATATCTGTGGGGGATAGCCACCAAGGTGTTTTCCACTCTAACAGTTTTTTGTTTTTTCCCCAGACTTCATAAAGAGAGCCTCTAATGATGTGATTCACAAATCCTTTATGTACCTTCCCTTTGTTTAACCAAAGGTAGGCATGCCAGCCGTACCTATTATCTACTCCTTCTAGGTCCAATAGGTCCGTATTCTCCAGAGTTATCCAATCTTTAACCCAACATAAACAGGCTGCTTCATAATAGAGTCTTAGGTTGGGAACAGCCAGTCCTCCTCTTTCCTTTCTATCTGTGAGCAATTTAACTCTGATCCTAGGCCTTCTGCCTTGCCATATGAATCTCGTGAGGGTTTTTTGCCATTCTTTAAATATTTTGGATCCTCTTATGACCGGAATATTTTGGAATAAGAACAGCATCTTGGGTAATATATTCATTTTTATAGCTTCCATCCTGCCCAGCCATGAAAGTTTAACTCTGCTCCACACATCCAAATCTTTTTTGACTTTGTTCCATGTTGCCGAATAATTGTCTTCGATTAAATTTATATTTTTCGGTGTGAGCCAAATTCCTAGGTATTTTACTTTTTTAACCACTTTGATTCCAGATTCTCTCTCTAACTTCTCCTTTTCATCTTTATCCAAATTTTTTGTCAACATCTTTGTTTTGGCTTTGTTTAGTTTAAAACCAGAAAGTTTCCCATATTCCTCCAATGTCTCCAGGGCTTTGTTAATGCTTTCTTGCGGTCTTCCCAAAGATAATATCAAGTCATCCGCGTAGGCTTTTAGTTTATACTCTTTTGAGCCTATTTTGATCCCTTGTATCTCTGGCTTCGATCTTATCTTATTCGCCAAGATTTCCAGAACCATTATGAACAAGAGTGGGGAAAGGGGGCACCCCTGCCTCGTTCCTTTCTCTATTTTAAATCTACTTGTAATGTTGTTATTTATAACCAGCTTGGCGGATTGGTTTGAATATATCGCCTGTATTCCTTTCAGGAATTCACCCTCTATCCCCACCCTTTCCATGGTTTTTAACAAAAAAGACCACGAGACGTTGTCAAACGCCTTTTCTGCGTCTATAAAGATTAAAGCTGCGGGTATCTCATTTTTAATCTCTAGATATTCTATTACATCGATAACGTGCCTCACGTTATCTTTTAGGAACCTGTTAGGTAAAAACCCCGCTTGGTCCTTGTGAATTAAATTTGTTAAGCACTTTTTCAGTCTACTTGCCATGATATCAGCATAGATTTTATAGTCGTTATTTAACAGGGATATTGGCCTATAGTTCTTGATATTCAATTTATCTGTATCTGATTTGGGAATTAGTGTTATAAAGGCTTCTCTCCAAGACTCTGGGATTTTCCCTCCTCTTAGGATGTTGTTCATAGTGTCGCATAACACGGTTAACATTTGATTCCCCAAAACCTTGTAATATTTAGCCGATAGGCCGTCCGGCCCTGGTGCCTTCCCCAATTTCATTTTTTTCATTGCATTTTGGATCTCCTCCATACTTATGGGTCTATTTAGTTGGTGTCTTTCTTCTTCTGTTATGGTCTTCCCTTCACAGTTCTCTAAATACCGTTCTGTTTGGATTAGGTCTTCTTCTCCTTTCTTGTACAGCGATTCATAGAAACTGAGGAAGTTTTTTTGAATTCTTTTTGGGTCCGCAATCAACTCGTCCCCTACCCTTATCTTATTAATCACACTCTGTTTTTGTTTTTTCCTTAATTGCCACGCTAAAAATTTCCCAATTTTGTTCGCTGACTCAAAATATCTTTGCCTCATTATCTTTATTTTACCTTCAATCTCTTGGTTTGTTAACATTGAATATTGTGTTTGTAATAGTTTTATTACTTGTAAACTTTGCTCATCTTTTGGGTTTGCTGTTAGTTTTTTCTCGTTCTCCCTTAGCTGTTTCAAGATTTCTTCCTTCTTTTGCTGCCTTATTTTTTTTTGTAGTTGTTTTGCTGAATGAAAAGGCCTCTTAAAACCGCTTTACTGGCGTCCCACACCACTTCTATGTTTGTTCCACTGTTAAGGTTAAGGTCAAAGTACTCCTTTAAGGTAGCTTTGGCTTTCTCAGTGACCTCATCGTCATCTAACAGCCATTCATTCAGTCTCCATCTGAAGCCTCCTTGGGTTGTCCCTTTTATTTCTAGTGTTAATGAGTTGTGGTCAGAAAAGGTTCTTGGTTGTATCTCACATTTTGTGGTCCTTAATGAAAGAATCCTCGAGATCCATATTTGGTCTATTCTGCTCCAACTTTTGTGCACTTCGGAGAAAAAGGTAAACTGTTTTTCTGTTGGATGTTTGTACCTCCATGCATCTATTAAGGCCATGTTTTCTTCTAAGTCTTGGAATGAGTTCGGTAGCTTCCCTTGTTTATGTTTTCCCTTTTCCGTTTGTCTGTCTATTTCCAATATCGGAACAGCATTAAAGTCTCCCAATAGCACCGTTTTATTATTTTCAAATTCTAGCAATACTTGTTCTAGTTTCTTGAAGAACTCCGCTTTGTTTGAGTTTGGAGCATATATGTTTACCACGTTAATCTTTTCCCCCTGGAAATTGATTTGGACCCCCAGTATCCTCCCATCCTCATCTTTATATATCAATTTGGGTTCCCATTTTTCATTGACATACGTTACTACCCCTTTTTTTTTCTCTGTCGTGGAGTTTATAAATTCTATTCCCAAGTTCTTATTCACTAAAACATGCTTATGCTTTCTGGCTACATGAGTCTCTTGCATACAGATTACATCCAATTTTTTCTTTTTCAACACATTTACAATTTTATTCCTTTTTGTTTTTTCGTTCATGCCGTTTACATTCCATGTTAAAATTTTTAGGTTCATTGTTGGGTCAGTAAATTATCAATTAGAGTTTTAACTGGTTTAGATTCGGGTTAGTTTGTCCTCTGTTTCTTCTTCCTCCTCTGCCCCTTCT